ATTTAGATGTTACTAACCAAAGGTTGGTGAAGACGGATACTCTCTTCAATTAAGAGTGAAAAGAGTCAAGTGGACCTTCCTTTGCGCTTGAAGCAAGTAAGATTACTGTAATTGTTGGTTTTCAAACGAAGAAATACACTCTTGAGGGTTTTGCTTTCATATTATGTTTTCGCTTCGGGTCTTGCAAGGCTTAGTAGAAAATTCTTCGTTTTTTTCCTTGTCCTCTCGTCTTTGCGGTAAGCTTATATATAGTGTCACAATACGTGATTTCTTTCTTCACAAAACTAATATACTCGAAGACTAGAACTACCAGAGGAATTCGACGAGTTGTCAAAACTCTCTTTTTGAAAGTACTTAAAAAATATATGAAAATAGTGTATTAATTTTTGGAACGTCAAAATGAAAGTTTTTTATAAACACAGGTAAAGAAATTAAAAGCGAAATTTTCGGATCAAGAACCGAGATAACTAATAGTCAAAATATTTCGAGATTGAAACATTGGTACATGTTGGACAATGGCGTTAAAAGCCTTAGCCATAATCTTTTGCTTTAGGGGTGAAAAACCGTGGTAATGTGACGAAATTACACCAATTGTGTTAAACTGTGATAATTTTTATTGAAAAAGCAAAAGAATCAAAGTTTAGTTAACTTAGTTGAAGAGGTGAAAATCACTCGGAATGAACTGCGAAGGGAAAATTGACAGAAAAATTATCAAAATTTCGTTGGAGCCCGAGATATAATAGATAAATTATTTGCAATCAAAACTCATTGTTGAAGTACTAAAGTATTGAAAAAATGCAAATAACATTCAAACTCAAGACAACTTACCACTCAGGAAAAACTTCTGAAAAAATCACAAATACATGACAGTGAATCAAATTCAAACTTTATTAAAATTGCAAATTGTTTTGATATATTTTCATCTATTTTAGATATTGCCATTGGTAATCGATAAAGAAAGATATGTTAGTTTCAAAACGCGTAACTTGTGTACTTTTCTGTTATGTTTGTTCCGGTCTATTATTTCTTCATTGGTTAATGATTATTACTTAATAAGTTTTTTATTTCAATCAGTTTCATTTAAGCACATGTACCAGATATTGTATTTCATATTTCATCACTATAAGTTGCTGTCAACACCACCAACCTTTTTCCTCTGCTATTCATGTACGATCCGCTATTGGCGATTCATCTACAATCTTTAGGAGCTAGACCAAAGTAAGTTTTTCTTTATTTCACATTTAAGATATTTCCTTTTTATTTTTTTTTGGATACGTACATTGATTTATTTCTCACTTTCAGTTCACTTTATAATTGCCTCATTGTTAATTAGGCTAGTGTTACATTTCTCAGGGATATTTTCTTAGTTTAGTTTCTACTGCATTTTCTTTTAGTTCAAACCACACAAATTCAGCTACAACGTTACCATCAATCATTACTACGCTATCTTCAATCCTACTTCTCCCTCTTCATCTGTGATTTCACACCGATCTCCTTATTTTCGTTTGTAATTTTGATTACGTACTTCGTTTGATTAAACCGTGATTTATATTGTGCATTCGGATTGTCTTCTCCGCTACACTAGTAACCTTTGAAGGTTACAAGATATATTCAGTTTTATCAAACAAGTACTATTCTCCAAGACTACTCTTTGATTTTCTTGAGTCTCAATCAAATTTCCTCTATACTGCTAATATTCACAAGAGCACAAAGGACAAATTTAAAGGAAGACCTGACTGTATGTATGTAAAATATCTGAAGCCATAAAGGAGCTCAGTAAATATTTAGCCTCTCATAATCATGACAGTAATGGTATTGTTGAAAGTGTTTATTTGAGAACTTGGCTCAGTGCCCAGTGATGTGTGCAACTTCCCTTCAGAGGTCCTTTCTGCCACAGATTTTGCCCAATATAGTTTGTTCTGAGACTGAAATAAATCAGGGTATAATTCACCCATGGGTATGGACAATTTGGAAGCTATTACAGTGAAACTCAGAGAACCATTAAGACTCATTTCTGACTTGTCTATTATGTGCAAAAGAAAACCAATCAGATACAAGATAGCTAAAGTGCAGCCCGTAACATCACTCACTTTTATGGTTAGTGGCTTCCTCTTGTAGTTGGATCCCCCGTCTAACTGGTTGAAGAACAATAAACACCTGATGAACATTCCAGTTTTCTGTCGAGTTGCACAGTAAAATTAAACAGGGTTACTTGGACAATCAAAGTAGAAGCATGCAATTGACAATTGTATTCTGTAGAGATCAAACAGGAAGTGTTCATGAATGGAAGTGAATGGCTAATATATTTTCTGATTCCCATGTTTACTAGTCTAAGAAAAAAACCGTGTTGACTCTGTAATACATGTGTATTGTTTTCCTAAATAATATGAAATTGTTTTAATTTTCCGAGTGGTTTTGATTATTTCAATTGTAATTTTTGTCCCTCAGAATATGAAGCCAAATGCTATAATTGTGTTCTTGGTATTGGCAATGCTAACCAGTCAGGCATTTTCCTGGTGGAGCTCATCCAGAAGACGACGAACTACAGTCCCCACAAGCTCTAGGTCAAGGTTTGTGGAAATATCAACCTTACCATAAACAGTGATGATGACAATAATAATATTTACTTATTTCTGCCATAATTATAAACAATGTTTTGGGATGTTGATGTTACATGTATGCCCAGTAGAATTTCCCCAAAATGTGAAATGTGAATCTTTGAGTGTTAATCAAGTAAATTTTTATATGAAAATCTCCTAAATCTTACATCAGAAGATTTCCCATTACTTAGTTTGTACTTGAGTATTAATATAAATCCACAGCCCCCGTGAACTCTTTGGTGGAGTTTAACAGGCCTGTCAAAAAGCTGGCATTTAGCACAACTCAAAATGACAAAATTCAACTCTAAAGGTGAATGACCAAATTTTCTTATGATAAGTTGGGAGAATTAAGTTATATTGAGTTATTATGGCATTTCTTGAACCCATATTAGGTGGGTTGCACTGCTTTCTAGTACTTTCCAGCTCTTGTACTCAACCATTATTTTTAGGTTAGAAACACCATAATTTTAACTTTGAGCAACAATTACTCAAAAACAAGCTACCACTTTTTATAACTTGCCACGAAATAACTAACTAAAGCATAATAACATACAACTTTCTGTGCAGTCAAAAAAAAAGAGAAATGGTAGGAGTAGATTCAAAGCCTCCTTAAATTTTCAAAAAGTCCAAGTGGCTCTCAATCCATTCCTATTAACTGTGCAGAAAGTTGTATGTTATTATGCTATTGATTTTCCAGCAATGAAAAATGGGGAGTCACTGAGCCCTTTGTTAAGTTATTTCCACTTAAAGCTGAGATAAGGGGTGTTTATAACCAATTAAAGTGTTTCTATGGTAACCTATTATGTCAAAAAAAGTTTCATAACTTGTTCACCTTTGGTAATTGGGCATTTCTTTGATACCATTATAAAAGTTTACTTGCTTAGGCTTGTTCATAATTATTGAAAAATAACAAAGTTATCATATGATAATCAGGAGTCCTTTAGGCAAGTGTCATTCTGCTGCATTAATTTATGATTTAGTCCTGCAGGGGGGCCGAGTAGCAACCCAAATGCTGTGGTGTGCACCTCATACAGAAGCAGTAATTACATCACATGTAAAAAGTAGGTGATCTGTAGTTATTAGTTGCAAGACCTGTATATCCAATGTTTGCATTACACATGTTGACAGTTATTACAAGTAACCCCATTGAATTTTAAAACTGCACATGCACAAGAGGCCAAAAAAATTAATTTCATTTCACAAGTAAACTTGCAACTACTATTGGCAAATTGTGATTAGTAGGTTTCACTCAGGAATTCATTTGGAAGTTGGAATGACTGGTTTTGTACAATCAAAATATACAGCATCTCACAGGATATTTCTGCTCATGCGGTGGCTTTTATTTGAATAGACATGCATAAATGTATTGTTTATCATAGGTTATCTGTTGTGTGCACACAACAAATATTGAGTGCACAATGGCCATATTTGCACGGTGTCACAATGTATTAATAGAAAATTGCCCAATTGTAACTGTAAGAGGATGTGACAGATGTCACAATTCGACACCTGTGTAAGTTATTTGTAACTGCACCATCAAAGCCAGTGAGAACAGAGAAAGTGAACACAATGCACAACAAGGTATACCAGGATGTAAGTCAAGGACTGATTATTTAAAAATTCAAAAGCTTTTAAGACAGTGTTAAAACATTGTTGTTTATGTTAACTGAACAATCTTCATCACCTCTTTCTTAAACAGGGGTGGAAGTTCGGTGACCTGTACCACACAACCACCCACAGAGACAAGAGATGACCAATATGGAGGACCCACCCCTCGCGGAGAGTACCTTATTGGCAAAAGGTACACACACCCACAAAAGGAAATTGACTGGTACAATCTGTACCCCAAGAAAGAGGACAACTCTGGTTACTATGGCTACAGACAACGCACTCAAAAAGGGCGCAACACCATGGGCCTACATCCTGGAACAGTAAGCTTAGGCTGTGTTACAGTCGAGCAAACTTGCTGGCCGAAGATTCGCAGCATCATTGACAGTGGGAGCATGCAGTACCGTGGTTCGGGTTACAGCGGATTTTTGTACGTGAAATAAATGAGCAATCTGCTGGATGTTAAATTAGGACAAGCAGTGTAAGCAAAAGGCATATCTAAGGTAGATGTAATGCATTAACTCTATTATGATTAGGTATTAAGTATTAGGCGTGGTGTTAAGGTTGTTTAGTACATACCTGGTTGTTGATGTTATTTTGACAGCAATTTTTGCTAAGATTTATCAGCATTTCCACTACAATTTACAATGTATGAGGGTAAGAAATATGTGATGTCCCAAAAAGATCTGTTGCGAAGGACTTCAGAGGGAAACCTTGTTATGCTTTATGAGTCAGATGGCATGCAATCTGCTGTGATTTCAGCAAATTTAGATGAATCACAGACTGTGTAAATGTAGCAAAAATCGCTGTCAGTTTAAGGAAGGGATTCAAAATTGAAGCCTTTAAGGTAGTATGTAAACAGCTTTTTAGAAAATAATTGGCCTTGAAGTGTAAAAATGCATAAAAGAATAAACTATTAAAGCAAGAGCATTTTGAATCATGACCATGATTTCTTCTTACCTTCTTGCCTCTTCTCATCTTCAGTTCAGCAATAGATTACATCATGAATAACACTGGCTCAGGAAAGAAACAGAACTGATTTGCGTAATGTGTTTAATTTGATCCTTTACTTTTCCATAAAAGCCATGGAAAACAGAAATAAATTATTGCCCCTTTTCAAGAGGATTTTGCCTTTTCATGCAAGGAGGACCAAACAAAATCAGTGTAACAGTCATATACAATACAATACAATAGCTTTACTAACCACTCCTAAAATATCAAAAACAAATTACTGGTCATGAACCTGATCACCAGCTGAGAACCCACAAGCAAGACTGTTTATTATCATGCACCAAAATCTACCATGATCTCCTCTTGCAACACAATTACAGTTGGCACACCAAATATAGCACAACGTTTCACTTTTTTTTATATTCTTTATACTTTTCTCAGCATATTAACATGAATGTATTGCTAGGGGCCTAATCAGCCTCATCAACCCGAGTTGTGATAAAGTTACTTACTTACTTACTTATTACCCAATATTAAGTTTCTTTGAAGACAAGTAATCTTATGATTAAGCAGAGCAAACTCCATTGATTGGAACTGCCTTTGATACACAGTCATTGTGCTAATATAACTTGTCGATTTTCCTTTTCTACTTATCACATCTCCTTTGTTACTGGGCAACATTCTTTGACAAATGTGGTGTGTGTGCAGTTATAGGACTGTCCTCTTTCCACCAAACCCAGAGCCACAATAACTCCTTTTCACTGTTATAACGCAAAAGCACATGAGGATAAAACTGATTTTGGTTTAAATGTTGAGTACAATAAATTTACTTCCAAAAGCTTTTGTAAATCTTCTGCGTAAACTGACAACAGGAAATTCTGGACCACAACTGTCTTGTGCTAAACTTGTTCTCTGGCTTCATCTCCAGTTCCTGTTTTGTAAGCTAAGAAATGGCGTCTGGGCTTTGAATTTCATTTTTGCCAATTCTCTGACTGAGGGCGCTAGTTCTGCAGTGTGCATCTCGAACATCGATCGTAAGAGTGAAAAATCAATCCAAAATGTATTTGCTATTGGGTTGTTCCGAAAACAATTCACACCCCTGCGACGGATAGGATTCTGGAAATTCTCGCGGGAGGGGGGGGGGGGGTGTCAAAGACTCTGGAAATCCAGGCGGGAGGGGGGTTGAACTTGAAAAAGTCTTCTACAGGGGTCATTTCGACCGATAGTTCACGCGATTCGAACTTTTAGTTCGGTAACACTTCAGCCCTCTCAGACCCTGAAAATAGTAGAAATATTTTGTTCACATATTTCTCACCTGACATAAATGATAATCTAAGTTCCTTCGCAGGTCCTTTCATAGCAGAAAACGCGAACAACAATCTTCTAAAGAACAAGCCATCGCAACGTTTTTGCAACGAGGAAGTTGAAACGCGTGACACATTTCTACTCGTACCCAGACCCGCGCGCCACCTTTGTGTAATTTCACGTAGCCCCGTTGAAATCTCGGTTGTTTGGTGTAAGGATAATGATAAAGTAAAGAAAAACAACTGATTTTCTTTCACACTTTCACACTTTGTATTTTTTAGGTTTTTTTTTCATCTAGGTCTACAATTATCAGCCTAGTCTGCCTACTTCTCGGCTTTTGAAACTTCAGCCAGATTCCCCTCTAAGTCGTAAAAAGAGGAACGTCAAATTCTAGCTTAGTAACAAGGTTTGAGAAACGTAAACAGAACGATTTTTTGCGCTAAATAATTACTCTCAAGTTTGCTTTGTCCCCTTCCGAGACCTCTGTAGCCGCAGTAGCTTCTGCTTTAACAGTTGCCTATTACTTACGCACACAGTTTATTAAGTTTTTACCTTTACGAGAAAAAAGTGAACATTTAACGACAAAGACGAGTTCATTTGCAAATATATGGTGCAACAAACATGTACACAGTGTAACAATAAAAAAACAGTCCCTTTTTTTTTACCACTACGTTCCCAATATCTTTGTGGGTACGAAATTACCTGTTAAACAACTTTGGATCTTAACTCTTAAACAAAACAACACTTTCATTAGTGAATAACTGCAGCCAAGATACTCTTTCTTGCTGTGCTCGCGCTGGCTCACAAAATCATTGTGTAAAATTAGTTCTGACGCAAACTTAGAAAGGTATCGATCTTTAAAATTCATAAACTGGACATCTTTGCATCAAGTTCATAACCCCTGAACAAAAACGTTACACATTTACTAGCAAATAACTGTAGCTGACGCCAGCCCAGGGGCCGTGGTGGATCCGGCCCTATCACCCCCTAGCCAGAAAAATAGTGCGCGCTCGATTTCAGCCCGGGGGGGTGACGTGCACCCCCCAAACGGTCACGTGGAGGGCGAGGACAGCGACGCGATGACACGGCCTCTACACCCCCAGCGAGGTCAGCGAAGCGACAGTTCACCCTCCCAATTTTGAGGGGGGTGAAAGTTTACCGCTTTGAGCCCACAAGGTAAAGCGGTGAATTTGGCCGCCATGTTAATGACGTCACCATTTCTCGTAATTTTGTTGGCGGCTATCTTGAAAAGTGGGCTCGACCAGGCTAATTTGGAACACTATGTACTACTATGTGATCATTTAAAATCCAAGAGTGATGAGGTGATGAAAAATGTGATTCAAATCATTTTTAGTTTTGAGTCAATGAGCTGTATTTTTCTAGATACTTCCTTGACAGTGGCAATAGGGTGTTGCATATAAATTAATTTCTTTCAGATTGTAGCTAGAACTAATCTCAATAAATAAATTAACAGTGTAGTTAAATTAGCTGATTCAGAAGCATTATTCTCTGAAACAGTGATGGTCATGCACTGGGAGGAGACATTTTTAAAGAAAATCAATAAATATCAGACAAATAAGTGAGCATGCATTAAGGCCTAGGTGCTACAGAGTGTTAAAAAAGGTGCAGGCAGGTTTAGGTATAGAATATCAAATTATAATGCCAGCATTTAATGTGCAGTTTACAACTGAGATTCTCTAAAATATCAAGTAACAGAGGAAAAAATGTACCCTTCAAAAGTAATCTTCTGCAAGGTATATGATCTTTTGTGGGGCACCCAGACACTTTATAGGCGTGTTGGGGGAGGAGATACAGTAAATACAAAAAAAAAAGCATCCACTACATATTAGATATCAAGCACTCAAATTCCTGTTTGACAAGCTAAGCAGGTGAATCAAGAGAATATCTAAACTCTCTGCCCCAGTCAATTGATAAATTAAATTTATCTGAATTTTATTACACAGTTTCACCTATGAACTGATGTTGATTGAAAAGTCCATATTGTCTTTTATCAATAGATAGTCCAAGATAACAAGTTTTAGTTTTGATTGTTGAATATGTCAATGTACATGTCATATAGATACATTTCTTAATAAACACAAAACTTTCCTCGTCACTTGGTCATCAATTTTTGAAACGGAAAAAATTTCCGCACAGCCCCATACTATTTTAAAACAAACTGTTTTCCCAATGGCAATCTATTGTTTTTGTCATTGTTTTCTCTTGTCCAACAACTGAATTCATAATGTTGTATGGGGCTGTGCAGAATTCTACCGGAGGATTTTATGATGGCCCCCGACCCAAATTAACCCTCCTGTTCAGCCCTTAAGATCCATATTTACATGTTCGTAATCAACAGTGCTAAACAACAATCTCCATTCTATTTACCGTAAACGTCCATGTATAAGCCGCACTTTTTTTCACAAAATTGAAGCCAAAAATCAAGGATGCGGCTTATCCATGGATACATCTGTGTTTGGAGTTCTCAAAAACCTAATTGATATTCATAAAACTTCTTAAGATGCCAAGAAATAAACAT